TCCCAACACATATGAGGACAAGAATTCCTGCAGGGAACCTAGCACAAGGTGTACCCCTAAACTAGCCAGCACTGCCAGCTCAGGCTGCCTCCTTTTTCTACAAATTTCACCCATCGCTACTCCTCTTACCATTTTCTTCATTGTATCTGCTATACAGACTACTTCCTGTGTCCAGTGTGGGACACGCTTCCTGAAAACCTGTCCCCAGATGAGTCTCTGGACATGCGCCTTACACAAGCACCCAGGCACCAACAGGACGGGTCACCCACAGCCCATGGCCCACAGACAGCAGGAGGCCTACCACGTCCACACAGGGCAGCTTCCCAGCAGCACCCTGGTTCAGGCAGCTGCCATACCGCAAGCTTTGGCTTAGTTTATGAAACTTATGGACAGGTTATTACTCTCTAACTTTCCATTTAAACGCTACCAAATTAGACCTTTCTAGGATTAAATGAGACTATACATCTTCATAAAATTTCACCTTAAAGAGGTGAATAGGTTTTGGCCAAATGTCCCAGCTTAGATAATTTTGAATCCTAATTTTGTCACTGTTGGTCAAATTATGACAAGAATTATTGAAATCATTACAGCCAAAAGAATAATAAATAAATTTCAGAACTCAGATGAATCATTTGGCATGTTCACAGGCTTACACCTGCCTAACTGAAAGGTTCTTCAATAGCAGATGAGCTCGGTAACATGGTAATGGGGGTGTCGGCACTTACGGGAGCTGCAGGGAGGGGAGAGAGGCCTCCTGAAAAACCACTTGCGAAACTCAAACCAGTTTACCAAAAGAAGACTGAGAACAAAACAAGAAACAGCCTTCAATTTCAGTAAAAATGAATCTCAAGATGTGAATAAAAGACCCTTTTCAAAATCATCTTCCCTATGAGGCCGTTAAGACACTGAGCTGAACCAGAAGGATGGTCCAAGATGCTCCATTAATCCACCTAACTAGAAGAGGAAGATCTGCTTGCAGGAGATGGGAGATGGAAAAGAAAGGGGATTCAGGGTAAGAGATTCAAATGGAACACAGGATGCAAAGAAGCCAAGTTTTGATTCAAAAAGCAAAAGCCACCAGCAGAGTTCAAGCAAAGTGATTGCTTGCTAGGTTTCCTGGGAGAGTATAAGAATACTCACAAGGTGTCTGACTCAAGTAATTCAGACAGGTGAAGAGAATGACAATTATTCAACAGGAGCCTATGTTAGAGGCCTGTTGTTTGGAGAAACAAAGTGAGACTGTTGGTAACACATTCTCAATGCTCAATGTAGTACAGGAGTATTTTTTCTAGTGATAAGGGTGAATCAGGAAACACACTGGACAGAGGAAGGAAACCGGGAAGGTGGGGGAGGGAAAAAATGAGAGAGGGAAAAAAACTAGGACTATAGGAAGTTCAACCAGATAGGAACCAACGGAATTTGTTTTTCAGTAAGCCTCTAACTTCAATTTGGAATCCAAGTGAGATCTCTCACATACACATACACACACACACACACACACACACACACATGCGCGCTCATGTACACAATTTCAAGAAAGCACTGGGCAGTACAAGTACCTTGTGCAGGTCTTGCAGGATCCAAGTAATTTCAATTAAATATACTGGATCATTTCTTTGTCTCTAGAAAGTACAGAGCACTCTAATTCAGGGGCATTGCACTCCAGAGTATTGTCTTCCACTTAATGTAGTGCAAATATAGTGGGAAAAGAAAGGTCTTGGAAATTACACATGTATAGCCAGCCATTCTCACATAGCATGTTTGTAAGTTTTCTGAGTAGCTGACAGTTTGTGATGATCCTTCATTCTTTAACCAAGTACTCTGAACAGCCAGATTCAGCTAGGAACCAGTGCCTCTCGACAGATTCTATGGCTGGAGGAAGTACTGAGCACCAATAAAGCTACTGCAGGTCCCTGAGAAGCTACAGTCTACCTCCTATAGCAATGAGAAGCAGTTAAATCTATGAGAAGCTGTCCCAATCTAAGAAGCAATGCCTGAAAGTTAATTTCTGGAAAACTGGTTAGATTTAAAAAACACACATACACACACAAAGTGTCATAAGCAGAAATTCTCAGTTTATCTTACCTCAAGTATCTACCACGGATACCAGCATCTACGCTGAACAGTACTTCCCACTCTCAGACAAGACACGCTGAAAATATTTCAGAGGAAATGATATTTCAAACATCAACCCTGTAGCTATAAAAACCATGATTTTAAAGATCTATAACAAGCCCATTTTTTAAAAAGGGAATAAAATGAGGTTCCTCCTTACTGAATCCCTACCAGGCACCACACTGAACCAAGCACGTCTGGAACCCAGAACTGGGGTGCCCCGGTCTGAAGTTGTTCACTGTGCAGTGCATGTGAGCAATGAAAACAGCCACGTGTAAAAGACAGTGGATCAATGTTTTCACTAGTTGCTCAGACGCAGAAACAGACAGGAGTGATTTAAACTACATATCTTGTACATATCTTGAATTATTACTTTGATACATATTTCTGTTCATTTAGAAATACAGAGAGGCCTAATTAAGAGATCAGATTCTTGGCTTGGTATGAGTTGTTCTGCTACACATACAAAGCCCATCAAGGGAACTGACACTTTAAATGCTTTTTGGGGGATACAGGTGGCAATTAAATACACAGTTCTAGATTTTAAGGTTTCATATTGTATCAAGGACTAGAATCCAATAAAAGCTCTGGATTCTCCATATCCATATAATTGCACAAGTGCCCATATACAAATTTTACATGCCTCCTGAAGGTGGTCTCCAACTTCACCACAATGAGTAAACGCTAAGACACTGCCCAAGGAGCTCTCCAACTCCAACCCAGTACTCACAAACCTGTTGCCTTCCTGCATACATCACTTTACAGTCTGGTATACTTCTGAGATTTCTAAAGCAAATGTCTTAATCGATAGGCTAAACTGTAAAGACATCAAGTGATCTGATGTCCACACGGACTTCTCTGGAGACCTCAGAGACAGAAGACAGAAGATCTAGCATGGGTAAGTGCAGTGACTAAGTCACAGATACCACAATCACCCTTGAATCCTGGGCTCTGACCACAGGGATCTGAGCAAACTCAGCTCCAAACCACAAAAGAGCCAATGATCTATATACGCTGCATTCTAGTTTCAGTAAGATAATTCTGCCTGCAGCAGGGGGTGTTGGGGTCAGGGAAGGTGGTGGAGGGGTGCATAACTATAAATGGGGTAGCAAGAGCAAGATCTCTTATGGTGAAAGGACAGTTTAAGATCGCAGTAAAGACAGTGGTTAAAGAGTCCACAAATGTGCCAAAACTATACACCAATGCTAACTTCCTGATCCCATCTTCTACCAGAATTACAGAAGATACTAAGAGCATGAGGACACAGGGAAGGGTACAAGGAGCTCCTTTACCCTCTCTTTGAGGTTTCCTATGAATTTATAACACTTTCAAAATAAAAGGTCAAACTCCCCATGACCATCAATCAAGAGGTGAAGATGTTTCTTGGACATAAATATCCAGATCAATTGGCTCAACTGAAAGACCAGAAAAGACACAAGTAACACAGCAACTGTGCTCCCGAAACTGTGCTTTCTCAACTGGGCCTCTGGCTCCATCCAAGGAGGAAAAGGGCTGCCAAGGCTGCCATTAGGCCCCATACTTTTGAACTTGCAGCACTCACCTTGAAGGCAAGAAGTGAAGTTCTGAAATTTAAACCTTTATTTTCTACCAAACGGGAAGAGCCAATCATATTCTCACAAAGTGATGACATAGTACTATTACCAGTGTGTCTGATAAAAGCTCAAAGACAACTGCTAAAGCATAACCACATCAGATAAATGTGAACTGTTTTCAATGCAAAGGCCACAGGACAGCCACAGAGGGGCAGATGGGCCAGAGCCAGTCTGTCTGTCTTTTCCCAGCAGCCTCTCTCTTGTGAAGGAACATTCACTACGGCCCTGTGTCAGAACTCATCCTGCAGGATCAGCTGCTGCCCGGCAGCTCAGCACAGAGCCTGTAGCCACCAGCCAGGCAGATTTCCCTCTAAAGGGGTAGGTCAGACCCATACTAAGGCCTGCAGGGAAATTACCCAACACAATTTCTAGACACCAATAATTCCAGGTTAAAAATAATACTAAGTAATAAATAGAAATCACCAAGGAAAAAAAAAAAGACTTCTCTCAGCCCGGAAAAATATCAGAGATAAATGAAACAAGTCTCTTTCATTCTTAAAATGATTCACCAGGAATCATCAGAGGAACTAAGTATGATACACCTGAGCAGATTAGTAGAATAGTTGTACCAACCAAATATTCCAGGTTTTCTTAGACAACACCAGTTTTATTTTAACCCATTATCTCCAGATATCCATATTTCAAAGATTCTGATATTTAATGCTGTCCCTTACATTTGCAAATGGTGCAAAAATTCTGTGAAATGTATGGACAATTTAACAACTGGGATTCTGAATTATGGGTTCACCGAGTTGGAGGTTAGCACAGTCACCCTCTTCTCTTCTAGCTCTGAAGAGGAGACTCCGTCCAGATGACACGGATGGACTACTGTTAGATGTTCTCACAAGAGGACAGAAAGCTCCAGAATCTGCATGCACTGAACTATCTCCCCGTCGCAGTCACATTCCACATCACAGCGCAGAAGGAGGAAAACAAACGTTCCCCCCTCCTATGGTGACAGGGACACTTTTTCCCTTTGACTATACCAGCAGTGGTACCACCCCTGAGTTTTAAATTTTGTCCTCACACTAGAAACAAACAAAACAGATACAGCGCATATTTTTTTTTTTTAAGATTCCTTGTAAAATGTGGCTACCAGCTACTAACAACAAGAGGATCAACTTCAGCTTCATATGAAATGCTTAAAGTACTGAGGGAGTGGGTAATTTTCTCTGAAAAAATGCAGCACTATTAGTAACAGATGCACAGAATCCTATTCACACTTGAAAACCACAGTACGACAGAACATCCCAACTGGATGTGGCTCCATACCTCAGAAGTCTTCTTGCTCTGCCTTTTCCCAAAAATGCAGTCAAGATCCATTTTGCTCCGAGATGACAGGTCCTTCCCTAGAAAACATGGTACTTTTCAGTAAGGCCACTCATTTTAAAACAAAGAGCACAGATCTAAATTATGCAACTCTTAAAAGGAACATGACTTGTAGAAAAAAAGTTTTGTAACTACTGCTTTCTACCCACCCCATAAAAATCACAAGTCTTAGGTGAATAAATTAAAGAATCACATAAATGTCTCAGAGTCAAAACTCTTGATATTCCCTGTCAACTGTAAGAATAAACTAGCGCACACAGATGTAGGGAAAACTGAGCTTCGAGACTGACCCTGCTTCTGGTACACCATCAAGACACAATTTCTGGGTCTCTGGGTTCCTCATTATGACAGAAATCTCAATGACTTCAAAGAAACACAAGCTACTTACTGAGGATTATGAAATGTATTTTTAAAAAATACTGCTTGAGGGCCGGGGATTTGGCTCAGTGGTTCCACCACCTGCCTTGCAACTGAGTTCTATCCCCAGTACCAAAAAGAAAAGAAAAATACTGTTCAAGGGGCCAAAGATTTAGCTCAGTGGCACTGTGCCTGCCTCAAAAGCACAAAGTCATGAGTTGAGTGTGACCCCCAGCACCAAAAAAAAAGGACAACAAAACAAAAATCTGTTCGATGCATAGCTTCAAACATCTTAAATTTTCACTCATTTGATAGCAATTATTGACACATAGGATCAATAATTATTAACAGAATAAACAGAAATTTAAAAGAATAAATGCAAGTATAAATTCCAATTAAAAAATAGTTCCTAACTGTAATAGCTATATCATCAGTAAACAAAATGACAGCAGGAAATTAAGTGGCTCTGGTAAAAACAGTGTCCATAGGATCTATGATTTTTATTTTAAAAAATAAACTTAATTTCAAACTGGAATTGGAATTCTACCTCTACCCAGTAATACACTGTGAGTGGTCAGCCAAATCCTTCCCCATTTGTCAACTTCATGGTACATGCATTTTAAAATGTAACTGCTCTGGGGAGGGTGGTCTAGGTCAGACACAGGAATCTGTGTTTCGAGGAAGAACCTGAGTTCCACTCCTGTGGATTTGTCTTTGTGGTTTCCTGTCGCAAACTGACTTGGCAAAGTAACATTATGACCCAGAAGGTTCTGGTTCACTGACTATCAATGGAGCATTCAAATGATATTGCTCAGTGATTCCGCGAAATTAAACAACAAAATGCCCTTTGATTTAATACAAAATAGGTACAGAAACAGTTCCAGAGGCAGGAGTATCAGATTATAGGATACAGTTGGTGCGCACTGTTCCTGGAGGGCAGGAAGACCCCACTCTGGCTCTAAGTACTTCCCTTGCCTTCACCTGAGCTAGAAACCAGCCTGCCTGATTTGACCACTAAATAGAACTTCAACAACAGACCCAGAGAAAACCTACTTAAGAACAGAACATGCACCTCAGTTAGGAGCCTAAGAAGTAAGCCAGAAAAGCAGGGAAGACGACCAGTGTGGGTCAGATTGAGTGAGACACAAGTAAGCAATAAAAAGGTAGTGTGAAATGGTGCTACCTGATATTTAAATGTCTACAGAACCAGAAATGAGCACAAGGCTCAATGCCATTCTGAATATGCAAGGAATTGAAAACACGCACACACACTGGAGTCAGGTTTTAAATAAATGCAGATGAAAGTAACTTACAAATATGTTTCAGTCAAATATAAATTTGGGGTTATCTGTTGTGATAATTATGTAGTCAATATTAAGGCAGGAGCAAATTTTATAGCACCCATTTGCTATGGTAAAACTTTTATCTGTAATCTTCACCGAGCTCTGTATAAGCAGCACCTACTTCTATTTGGTTTCCTGGACCACAGGTGGAGTCACAATGTGAATCATCCTCATCCTAGGTGAATCAGCAAACTTCAATGTGAGCACATCCATGGGTTACAATTCCTGCTATTCATAATGCCAAGAACACAAGCTCCATACAAGGGGCCAGCTCTCATTCATCATGAAACAGACCCTAATTTAGACCTTCACAGGGACTTATAAATGTTTCCTCATTTTACACAAGAGGAAACTGAGTCTGAAGGAAGGAAATTGGTTTGATGTGTCCAGGCATCATGGCCAGAAGCCAGGCCTCCTGGAACCTAGGCAGGCTCCTGGGGTCAAGCCTACGAGAGTCATCCTTCACATCCAATACCCACATTGGCCGGAGAGGAAAGAGTTCCTTTTAAGAAATTAAAAAACTTTAAGCTTTCACTGCAGATAGCCAAGACCTGCGGAAGTAACGATTTTCTTCACTATCTTGTCTCCTGCTTCCTTCTCTCATCTTCTGTACTTATTCCCAGCCTGCATGTCCCCCATCACCCAACTCAATCGCCTCTCTGCCTGACAATTTGTCTTGAACTCTTTCTTCTCTACACACCAAAACCTCCCTTATCTTCAAGTAGGGCTAATAGAAAATGAACGCACAACGCCCCAAGCAGTTTGACAGGGTCAGTAGCAAGGGAGTGGCTTAACTAGAAATAGAAAGCAGATACTTGCGGCACCCAGCAGATTAAAGCAGATTAGAGGTTTATCCAGCTGCAGCAAAGGCTTCAGATTAAGTCAAGCATGTAGTCAAGTACGAAAGGACAACTGGAAGACTCTACGTGCAGACCAACACCTCCTCAGGCTGCTGTGCCACCCCCAAGCTGAGGTCACTCTCACCCCCACTCATGCGATCTGCACAGCCCCTTCTTCTTGTCACTATTTTTCCTATGGGGCTGAAGGGCTACGTAAAGAACTGGGAAAGACACCACTGTCCTCTCTTCCAAACGACTGAGCAGCCGGCAAAGTGTGTTTCATTGGGGTGGGGTGGAGAGAAGCCTGGCTAGAAGCTTCATGGCCCAACACTCTTGCCTGAGAGGAGGAAGAGGAGCCACTCCCAAAATGCTCCCAACAACACACTCCCAACGCTCTCCTGTTGGGAGAGGGAAGGGGCAGTACCAGTCTCTCCCCGTATACAAGTCTTCACTTCAGCTCTGCCAGGACCTCTCACAGAAACCGAACCCAGTTCCACCTTTTGGGATCTTTGCCCCAAATGAGAAACACAATCAACAGTTTAGAGTAGTGCAAATCCCACCTCCCACTGCCATTCAGGTGGATTCTAGGAATAAGGATCTGCAGTCCAGCTGACAAAACTAAAGCACAGAGACATGCCTTTCTTGGCATACATCTAATCTCCCAGAGAAGCACAATCAGATGTGGCCCAATGCCACAGCACCATCGCCGCCATATGTACTACACTTTAAATATGTATATAATAAAAAGCCTTTGTGATTATTCTATGGGAAGAGACTGCGGAGTTGAACAGTTCAAATTAAATGGTTTCTCGCCAGTGCAAGTCTGCCACCTAGTGGTAAAAAAGGACAGCTGCGCACACACAAGGACTACTACAAACCCTGGTGAGGTGGGAAGGGGCATGGGAGGTGGGGATGGAGGCAGACAGGACTTTCCTTCCACCCAGGTCTCAACACCACCTTGGCGAGAACGATGCTGTGCGTACATTAACTCTCCATGAGATGGAGAGGCTAGAATATGACCAGGGTCAACTTGGGAGTGTATTTTATCACAGAGGAGATAACTCTCAATGAGCTATTCGACACCAACGTTTAGCTCTGAAAAATATGGAGATGTAGGTAAAAACACTGATGAGTAAATTAAAATCATCTTCTGACCTAGCCACACAATGTCCTGGTTTCCTCTCAATGGCCCATTAATTTCCGTTTTCAGCTTTGCCCCAGGACCTGTCCACACTGAAGGCTCAGCCAAATCTGGTCTGCATTTTAACCAGAGCCTGAACTGCCCTGGCTCCATCCCAGCACTGTCCAGAGACCCACTCAGTACACAAATAGGAAGGCAGCCACTTCTGGTGAGGAGCTCAAAATGCTCCAAGAAACTAAGTATGAACACAGATTTCAACAACAAATCAATACTCCATCTTACCTTTTGTGAATTTCATGTAATGCACCCGGTTTTTAGAAACTTTGGACTTTTCCTCAAGGCTGAAGAATTTTTTTTCCTTGTTGTCTGGAGAATCTGAAAGAGGAAAAACAGTACACTGAACTCCTCATAATCCATTCTCATTTATTCTCTTATAATCAAAGGTCTGTCTTAGGATTTTTAGGAGCCCCATCATTTACTACTGAATTCTCACCAAATCATAAGAATTACTTTTTAAAACCGTGTACTATGGTTTGGGCATCCAAAACTTTAGAGATTCTTGAGCAAGAGAAACAAAAACCTGTTTTCACACAAAAATCTATACATGTTTATATTAGCTTTATTCATAATAGTAAAATACTAGCTTACCCCAAAAATCCTTCCAAAGGTGAGTGAAGGGCTGAGCCAACTCTGTGCCCTCACGGCAGGCCAGCACCCTGCAGGACACAGGACCCAACATCGGTGCAGGTACCTGGATGGGCCTCAGGGCATTTGCTTATTGAGAAAAGCAGTCTCAAAGGGGGCATACACTACACGATTCCATGTATATAATATTCTCAAAATGGCATTACTAGACATGAGCGAGACAGTTTCCAGGGGGCAGAAATGAAAGTGAGATGCCAGAAGTTGGAAGGGTCAGGTCAAGGATGTAGCTCAATGGTATAGCACCTGCTTGGCAAGCGCGAGGCCCTGATTTGATTCCCGGTACCAAACAAAAAATCCAAACACACACACACACACACGTGCACACACACACAAGTTGGAAGGGTGGAAGGTGGGTGCGAATACAAAGCAGCAGCACAATTAATTCCGCTTCTCGACTGTGGAGGCAGCTACGTGGATCTCCACTTGTGGCAAATGTGCACATGCAAAGAATGAAAGCTGAAAAGCACGGTGAGGGATCTGGCTAACACTAACAAGAAGTATCAATTTCTTGGTTTCCATTGCCACAGGAACGTAAGATGCCACTCTGGGGGAAGCTAGGGGACGCTTGGAGAAGGGTTTTCAGGATTCTTTGTACTATTTTATAATTAACAATTAAAAATGTATAATGACTTCTAAATAAGAAGTTATTTAAATGTAAATACAGGTTAAGACAGCCTGAAGAGTCATCAAGAAACACATGAAATGACGGTGAGTGTGAAGGAGAGGTGGCACTGACCACCACGTGAAGGCCAGCTTTCCTGGGTGGACACCTACAGGGACAAGAACAAAGCCCATCATTCAGGAATACATTCCTGTGCTTATTCCTGTATGAAAAGAGGGAAATAGAGCCAGAAATACCAAAGCAGTCCATCTGGGTTCGGGTCGATTAGAAGGCACTAACTAGCTTCCTGCATCTCCTCCGACTCAACTGCCTGTTCTCAGAATTCAGGTAAAAGAGCACCATGGAAACAGAACACCTCGGGGAAAAGGGACTGAATTTCCCTGTGGTTTTCAGGACACCTGGCTAAGGGGTTAGAGAAAGGGAAGATGGAGACTTTCACCCGGATCCTGGAGCACAGGGCCCTGGGCCACTGGGCATCATGTGAGGTGCCCAGGTCCTTGCCCAGAACTCGTTACCAGTTTCAAAGGCAGCCTGTGAATTCTAGAGCAGGCACAGGGCCAGGTGAGCACAGGTGTTTCTGGTGGCCAGACCACACCTAGCATGGGTTGATCACACCAGCTAGCTAAAGCATTCTCCTCTGCAGCTACTTCACAAGAACATTTTGCGTATTTTTGTTGTTGTAAAAACAACCCATTCGTAATGTTGTTTTCCTCTTTTTGTGGTCAAGAACTCATAAGGCACATACATTTTCGGGTCTGACATTCCAAACAGAAATCATCTAGGAAATTACCAGATACCAACAGCGGCTGGTGTGATGTGCAAGGCTGTGCTTTTGTGCATCTCATTTGCACAACTGTCCCATAACGAAGCAGCTGGGATTACTGAACTTACCGAGGGGAGGATGAGTGTGGCACAGGCAGGAGGTGGCTCTGACAGGGCAGCATTAGGCAGACACCACTGAGCCACACGTTCCGATGGTGGCGCTGGGTCCCTACTGAGGAGCTGTCAGCCTCATGGGGCACAATTCCCCATTCTGGGCCACTCCGGGTGAAGGGTGCCTGCGCCTGCTGCCCACATCCACTCTTCCCAGCACCGCTCTCAGTGGAGGGCAGCATACGCAGGGCTTTCCAGTCCCACGTGCTCTCCACGGCAGTGTGACAAGGGAAAAGGGCATCTCCTTCACTCAAGACCCATAAGGAACCAGCCACGTACTGACGTCGGGACAAGTCCTTTAAGTAAGGCAACTGAACCAGCTCCCCAAACCACCAGTCCAGGCCGCCTAACCAAAGGATGGACTGCCTTTTGTAACTACGTACATATGAATTCCTAAAAACCTGGATGTTGATCTAAAAATGCGAGATGGAAGAGAATGCTTTCCAAAATATTTTTAGGATACATGTAAGCAAAAGAATTTTGAAGGTGCCTAGGCTCAATCAGACATCTGTTTAACAGATTCTCAGCCTCCCAGTTTACTTCCCAAAATACTTAAAACCACTGGTGACAACGTGCCTTGTGGACATTCACAAGAATCTCCTAAGCTGAGATAAGTCCACCAAAATACTAACCCGAGTCTGAACAAGTATAACTAAGTGAGATAAGGTATTTTTTAATGAAATCTAAAAGAATATGCTGATATTTGAACCCCATAAAGGCACAAGGTTATATTTCTCCTCTCAGCAAGAGTTGCTGAGCAGACAGCACACAATGCCTGCTAGGTTAAAAGGCCAACAGTGTGAATCTGATAAGCAGTCTTAAGGAGATAAGGACACTATCACAGCAGAAAAACATGTTCTAGGTTACTGTGTCTCTACTTTTCAGCTTTAATACAAATACTGTGTGACTGTGATCAAAAAGCCAGTTGGATGAAGACGCTGTATTTACCAAAAGTGACATAGCAGGAAAATAATCTATTAGCTCTCTAGGTCCAGTCCTTAGGACGCTTTCCCTAAAAGGAATTCCATAAGGCCTTTTCCCGTCTGGGCTGGCAGTGCCAAGGCGTGGTGTAGCAGGGAGCTAGAGATGGAAGAGCCTCTGCCAAGCACTCACTGGTGCAGAGCTACTGCCCCCTCTAGTGGCCCAAAGGTGGAACTTATCCACAGATCATTAACTCCACAGTTCTCGGATCAAGTACTGGAACAGTTTTAGGGAGAAAAGGAACACTAATCTTGCACGGGTTAACCCATAAACAAGCCTGCATGGGGACAAGTCAGCACCTCTTGAAATGTGTTGGGCGTTCAGAGCCTTCCTGACAACACAGAGTTCAGTGGAGCCCTCAAAACAACCCGTTGCCTGCACTCTCTGGGACACACGAGGACCACCCACCAAGAAGCACCTGTCCAGCCAAGGTCCCTAATGGCATCTCTCCCTCCAAATGCACCTGATCGTGGTACTGTCACACTAGAGGAAAGTAAACTCCAGCTATCACCACCTAATCTCAAAGCCAAATCACTCAACAATCTGCTTTCTCTTCTCTTTATCTGTAAAACTCAATCCTTTATCTATGGGGTCCTGGGGTAGATCATTTCTTGGTATTCCTATGGCCTGCAAAGTTACAAAGTGTTCTCTAACTCAGTGCATCAAGCACTGAGAAGTTGTGACACCAAACAGTACAAAGAGGACTGCCTCCCTATGTAAGAGTGGGTGTGTAGAGGTACCTAACACAAGAAACCTAGACTCAAGTTTTCATGTTCTATGAGTATATGGGTGGCAAAGGCCCCTCAAGTCCAAGAAACACCCTCATTATGACCCGATCTGTTTATACATCATTAGCCATTCGTTAAGACAGAAGATGGTCCTTGGTATTCAGAATGAAGTCCCTTAAAGAGTTAACCTTCATTACAGCCTTAAAGTAAAATAAACTACATATTACACTTCACCTAAAATCCTATCAGAAAGAGCCCCACGCAACTTTCATTTTACCATAAAATGCACCATAATACGTAAGTATAGTTAAAATCTATACCATTCAATAATTATAAAGCATACTTCTTCATAACCACCTCCAAAGTTAAGAAACAGGCACTGCCCGTAACTAGAAGCAGCCAACCTCCACGTGTCTGTTCTCATCTATTTTCTGCCTTCTGGGCTGGGAATTTAGCTCAGTGGTTCCGCTGCCGGCCTGACAAGTGCAAGGTTCCAAGTTTGATACCGGTACGAGAAAAAAAAAAAAAAAAAAAA